AAGACTAAAAGTCACCTTGTTACAAGGTCAAAACCCATTATTCAGGATACACAAATAAGGAACTTCCCTTTAGCATTCAGGAGGGTGGAATTTGGCAGGGAATTAGCATAGGGAGCATATCAAGGTCAAGGTCTGCAAGCAAGGCAACAGTTACCCAAAACGGGGGCCAGGGACCTACAGGTCCCCCTTTTATTAAAAAATGAGCTTCTGACTTGGGTTGCGTGGGACGTCAGCAGGTCACCTTACCTGTCATGGAGACGCCTGCCCAGGCCACACAGGTGCTCTGTCTTAGGTTGGTGAGTGCCCCTCAGGCATTACCCGTCCCTGAATACTCATTATCATACAGGCTCATGAATATTCTTAATAAGTTTACTGGCTGGAGAGATGGCCCAGTGGTTAAGAGCACATATTGCTCTTGCAGAGGACCTACATTTAGTTCCCTGCACCCACAATGGGCAGCACACAATGAGTTATACCTCCAGCTCACAGAGGGAACTGTGGCTTCTGCCCTTTAAGGGCACTTTCGATCACATGTACATACCCCCACATATATACATATAATTAAAAAGAAAGTAAATCTTTTGTAGGGGGCAGGTTTTGACACAGGGTTTCTCTGTGTAGCTTTGGTGCCTGTCCTGGATCTTGCTCTATAGACAGGCTGGCCTTGAATTCACAGAGATGTGCCTGGCTCTGACTCCCGAGTGCTGGGATTAAAGACATGCACCACCACCACCAGGCTCAAGTAAATCTTTTTAAATTTTTTTTCCATATGGAATCAGTTTATTAAAGATTTTTTACATTGAAAGAACACAATATTTGGAAATGTTTAATAAATTTAGACAACTATTAAAGATAACATAAGCCAAAATTTTCAAGAGAATAAAGAGTCAAGCAATATTTAAGCCATTATACCAAAGGGGAAATAGCCACAGTACATGGAAAGAGTCCTTCAAGGCAGGGTGCTGGGGACTCACACAACGGTTCTGTCGCTAGGCACTTTCGCTATTGTGCTCACATCATCTGTCTGACTTGAGTTTCTCCCCTTATCTAGCATGGTGAATAAAGTGGGATGGATAGAGAGGGAGGAGGCAGCTAGCAATGCCATGGGCCTCAGCTAGGACACACGGCATCACTCTCTCTTCTAGCTTGGTGAGGAGAAGAGCTGAAGACAAAGGAATCCAACTGTGTCATTCAAACACAAGAGACGGTCTGTGGAAAAATCTCCCCAGAACCTGCACACTTTGGCTGAGGTTCCACTCCCATAAACTTTAGCTCTCTCTCTCTGTGTGTGTGTCTGTCTGTCTGTCTTGGACTGTAAAGTTATTTTCTCTTTTAGGAATATAATTTCTATGCCACAACAGAAAAGGTAAGCATAAAAACCAGGCTAATGGACTTAATCCTCAAGTCACTCCATCTTTCAAGAGGGAATCTCTTAGGTAGACTGGGGCAAGGATAGAGTGGGGAATTGTCCTGAACACTGAGTGTGACAGGTATAAGGGAGCTAGAGATGTACTATTGCCCCCTACCCTGGGCCACAGTGACATTATTTGTTCTTTGGGTAACATCTTGGTTTTGACTTTCTTCAGGAAGTCAAATGAACCTAATATATGAAAATGACGTACCCTGTATATTTAAATATTTTTAAATATAAATATTTAAAACTTGCATATGTTAATGAAAGGGCTTCATTCCTGTACTGTGTACTCAGATACACAAGCAATCATAGACAATCTGGCCACAGTGTGAGGTCAGCCAGCAAGCATACTTTTTCTTCTTGTCTTATTATCACAGAGAACAGGGACTTGAGACATATAATCGACTTAACTGCCACACTTTCTCCAATAAGAGGTGGCTTTTCTACCAGTGTCTTTGTGAAACTCTTCTTGTTTGAGAATGTTTCTTGAGAGCCTTTATTTTCATCTTTTATTATGTGTGTGTACATGTGTGTGTGTGGTGGGGGGCATGTATATGTAAAGGTCAGAGGGCAACTTCGTGGAGTTGGATTGAATTCCACAGATTGAACTCAGTTCATCGGGCTTGTTTGGCTAGCACCTTTGTATGTGGAACCATCTCACCAGCCCAAGACTTGGTTTTAGTAGGCAGGCAAAATGACATGGTCTCCTTCTACTGGGAGACTGGAAATGAGTATAAGTGGGAATGTGTTGGAGATAGGGTATAGCCTAGGCCAGGGCCAGCAGAACGACCTAGCAAGGAAGGCTGGGTTACATGTATCAAAGGATCCCTACTGCAAACCTCTAATTCTAGGAACACATCTTGCATCACATGCCAGAGTCATCCTTCACTATGAATCAGTTACAGCTGCCATGTACAATGATCGTGTGTATGTAAACAAAACGAAACAAAAAACAAAAAGCAAAACCCAACCTCTGAGTTGGTAAGCACAGGTTTTTAGAATGCTAGCTGAACACAAAGGAAATACCTGGTATAGCCAATCAACCATCGAATAAGCACACCTAGTGACAGTCCCCGAAGCAACCATCTGTGATGTTATCCAAATGAACGCATGAAAACGCTTAACCTTTCACAATTCTGGGCTTTTGGCTTCCAGAACGACCCATTAGTGAGGATTTTTTTTTACAATATTTGCAGCCAATGATCTTCCCTGCTGCAGAGATAAATGTGACAGCACAGGAGTTTCACAGAGAGCCAGGTTCATTTACATACGGTAACACTGCTGCGAACCTGCATCGCTGAGTCGAAACAGGACAGATGCAAGGGACACACTGAGGGATGGCCACGTGATCCCAGACTGAAGTCTAAGAAAGGGAGGATGGAAATGGCCATGAAGACTACCTACCAACTTTTACATAGACACATAAAAAATCATCCTAAGAAGGTCACAAGATTGGCCAAAAGGCCGAGGAAAATATAACTTCATGTTTATTGCTAGAAATTCCAAAATTAAGAGCATTTCAGATTTTCTGACTAGTGGTGCTCGATCCACTGACTTTGGAGAAGCAGAACAGATCTTAAGGAAATATGAATGAATGACCCTATGTTAACAGATTAAATAGTTTGGACAAAATGGACAAGTTCCTTAAGACATACAACCCACCCAGATTAAATCATGAACAACGAGAAATATGAACAAATCACGAGCAAGTAAAAAAACCAATTTAATATTCAAGATAGCTGGTTTAAAAGTACAGACCCAGGCCAAATATAACAACGTGTTCTTCTAACACAGGATATTTCTTGTGACACTGACCTAGCACATCCTCATATGAAGAAAAATAGAGATGGAAAGTCTGCCATGCTGACAATTGTGCCCATGAAGAGAATGGGTTCAAAATGGTCATTTTTTCCCCATTCAGATGCTGCTTCTAACTCCCAAAGAACAGCTCTGGGGCAGGAGGAACAGGATTCATTTCAAGCTGGACTACTCATCTACCAAAATGCCATTCTGACCAAAGAAACAGATGCAGAATTACAGTCACAGCTGCATTCTGCATACAACAAGTTGGATAATGGTACTCTAAATAGCTAATTACACCTTTAATGATGTTTTTAGTGCCACTGCAGTATTTTGCCACCTTTGTATAGTTTTTTTCAAAAAAAGCAACCAGGAGGGTTTTTAAATGATGGTATTCTGTTTTGTTAAAGCCAATGAGTCTTCCAAAAAGAACCTCCCCACCCACCCAAGACAGGGTTCCTCTTTGTAGCCCTGGCTGTCCGGGAACACCCTCTGTAGAACAGATTGGTCTCGAACTCAAGAGATCCACCTGCCCCTGCTGTCTGAAGGCTGGGATTAAAAGTGTGTGCCACCAAGCCGGGCGGTGGTGGCGCACGCCTTTAATCCCAGCACTCGGGTGGCAGAGCCAGGCGGATCGCTGTGAGTTCGAGGCCAGCCTGGGCTACCAAGTGAGCTCCAGGAAAGGCACAAAACTACACAGAGAAACCCTGTCTCGAAAAAACAAAAAAAAAAAAAAAAAAAAAAGTGTGTGCCACCATTTCTTGAAGTGGCAGTCTCATGGGATTTTGTAAAAGCCCATTTATTAACTAGCAATTTGCTTTAATTTACTTCCTTACCAATTATTTACATTAACATCAGAGAAATCATAAGTATGTCAGTCAGTGTTTGTATCTAAATGCATAGTTGGTATGGAAAGATTATTAGCTAACATGTGCTAACACGTTGGCACTGGGACTATTCTATGACTAGATTTAGAAAATTATACCAACAATACAATTGTATTTTTTTTTTTTTTTTGGTCTTTCCTGGAACTCACTTGGTAGCCCACCCTGGCATCGAACTCACAGAGATCCGCCTGCCTCTGCCTCCCAAGTGCTGGGATTAAAGGCGTGCGCCACCACCGCCCGGCCTACCATGATAAATTTTATTATACTGCCAGTACTCTATCATTTACTCTACACCAGCATAGCTAAGGCAAATTAGTACTTTTGATATGACAATGCCATTGCATTTTAATTACTTTAATAGATTACAATATAGATTAAAATACTATTATCCTAATGTATTTCTTATACATTAGAAACATTTATTCTTATATATATGAAATATATAAACATTCTCTATATATCTCTATATAGAGAGGTGGCAAACTTCTATAAACTGATTTCTACTAAATTATTTTTATAAAGATTACTGAATAATTTGTTTCTCACAAGTCTATCTCAAGCTGACCAGAAATCTGGCATGCTAGATTAGAAAAAGATTTTCTATTCGGACAACTCTGTATCAATAACAACTGTGTCATGTTTTTGATAAATGTTATACTTAGCAAGGTAAATCAATAAGCGAATGTTAAAAACACAATCACAATCATGTAATCACAACGCTCACTCTCTCCTTCTTCCCCTATCTGTCCCGCCCCTCCTCCCTCTCATGAAACACAGGTGACTATGCAGCCCAGGATTATCTTGAGCTCAGGGTACTTCTGCCTCTACCTAGCATGTGCGAGGATTATAGGCATGTGCTACTGCCAGGCTGCAATCACAATTCAAAAACTAATACTTACATTTTCTTCAAACTGATCATCCAGTTTCAGTGATCGTTTAACTCTGCAAATAAAATATTTAAAGAAATTTTAGATCTAACATGCTTTATTTTAGGCTGATATTTTAGGATAAAATAAAACTAATTGAGTCCAAATTATTTTTACCAACTAATTTTTATATTGCTTGTTAAAGCTAAATTCCACATAAAAAATAATTATGGTGATAAATTTGGATTTCTTAATGTTTTTATTTGATGTCTATTTCTAGTAGCATATTTTAACATGGGATCCTAACTAAACATTTAAATGGATCACTTCTTCATATATACAGCTTATATACAAGTACTACCATAAAATTTAAATATTAGTTTTATTCTTTTTTGGTGGTGGTACAGGTACTGAAATGAAGCCCCGTGCTTGCTAGGTAAGAGCCCTACCACTGAGCTATATCCCCAGACTAGCTTTTATTATAGAAAAATTTCAGTATAAAAATTAGTTATCTGCATAAAAATATTATGAGGAAAAATTATACATAACAGCAAAATAATCTAAATATCTTTGATAGAGACACTGAAAAATCTCCCATTTGCAGGAACAGAGTGCTAAGTGGTGCAGGTTATTTGTAAGGCAAGGCTTTGCACATTATCCTAGCATTGGACATGATTCAGAGCAAGCAGACTATGACTTAACAGGGGAACAGATGCTCCATGTCTTTATAAGTCCCCAATCCACAAGAAACTATTTTTTGCTTCCTTCACTGCACTGATTCAGGAACGTGCCAGGCTCTGTGTGTGTAAAATCTGTTCTGCTAAATGGGATGCCCAGCTGTTGGTGACAATGCTTAGAGAGGAAAGTTGAATATTTATAATACTTTATTCCGTACAGCTGCTTCTAAAGAGCAGTCATCAACATTTTATTGATTGCAAACTGAATACGCAAAGGAGAGAAAGGTCAACATACATTAAAACTGGTTTTCCAAATGCAGTATTAAAAGTACTTCTTGACCTCTGAGGCAGAAATTACCTCAAGTATTAGAAAGTTAGAGCATTCTGTAAAAGATTGTATTATAGTCTGTTTTAAAGAAAATCTCCTAAAAATAGAGATCCTAGAAAATTACTAGAGCATTTTTTCTTTGTTTTTAAAAAGGCTGTGACATCTTTTATAAGAACACTGCTCAAAAATATTATCGTTGTATTATCACTGACTAATTCTTAGAAAAAGTAATTCTATGTTCAGATTAGATAAAAAGTAGATCTATGAAGCCAAGGAAATGCAAAACTTTCAAGAAAGTGAGTTAAAATAGGCTATAGTCTATTTTATGTTTGTCTAGAATCTACAGATGAGGTTTCCTGAAGGTAACAGAGCAGTAAGCAACTGGTAATAAGTATCCTAAGGGGATTTAATAGGCAACAGGAGAAGACATCTGAGAAATGACTTCGTTCAGCCTATAGAGAAATTGGTGCAGCTTGCTCAATGTTACATGTTTTTAGAGAGGGAATCTCAGATCTATGGTAATGCATTATGAAAAAACCATCTCTCCCATGCTAAGAGACTGGAATCTTTTCTGGCCCTCACAGTCAAAGCTAGTAATACATCTTGAGGACTGCTATTCTATTGTGTACTCAGTCTGTTTGTTTAGCTTGCCAATGCCTTGGATTTCCCATGTAATCAACTTTTACAACAAGGCTAAGGCATAACTGTAATCTTAAATCGTGTAATCTCACATGCCTCTGATCCAGAGTAATGCATGTGTATTCTGAGAATCATTTGCTGGAAACAGCACATAAGCTGAAAGCAGTCTTATGAATGAATATCCACCACAAATGTTGCAAAACTTGGGTACTGCTTGATAAACAATTATGCTTGTAATACTGTTTGTTATCTGGTTCAGTTGAAGTCAGTGACTTAAATTCCTTGTGAAACTGTTAAAGATTTCTATAAAATATCCCTCATTCCTTCCCAATGTGATAGTTTTTGTGACGCTTAATACATACAAGACTAAGACCTCTGTTAGGGACAGATGCAGATTCACAAGACAGCTTTCAAAGGACAGAAGACATTGGGAGGGTGAAGTGGCGAGTTCAAATCTGGGTTTGTTATTGGTTAGATGACATGAAGGAGAAGTGCTTTGATTTTTTTCCTTAAGGTGACACCGAGGCATTATTGGTGTCTCAGAGTTTATTAATAATGCATTCAAACAAAGCACATAGGTCTTGAGAGAGAAAAAAAATTATAGATCACTTAAAGAAGAACAAACTTAGTAGAAGAATTTGTGACAATTTATCCTTACCTTTCAATCAGAATTGGATAGTTATCAATTATTAAGTATCTACTGCTTACACAGATATTCCTTTATCCATGAACAACTGATATAAGAGGATGAAATGATACTAAATGCATTACTCTTGAGTCAACAGGAACAGAGCAGAAACAGATGAAACACATAAGGAAGAACAGGTAAAACTTGACCAGACACAAAGATCTTTCTGGAAGTTCTAAAGTTATAAAGTCTTAAGGCTACTATTTTGTTTAAAAAGTAAATAAATAAACAACACACACACACACACACACAAAAAACCCATGCAAGCAAATAGGATGATATATGCCTGTAATTGCAACATTCAGGAGGCTGTGGCAGGAGAGCCAGAGCTTAAGGCCAGGCTGGGGTACACAGCAAGAAATTGCTGCAAAAGAAAGCAGGGAGCCTTATAAAAAACGGGCACTACTACTAGTGCAATATTATAGGAAAAAATACACAATAAGCAGTCTGGCAAGGGTGCAGAGAAATAAAAACCCTGCACACTGCTGATGAGAATGTAAACCAGTAGAGCACTATTTAAACAATGCGGTTTTTCAAAATATTAAAAATAGAATTACCATGACTCAGGGATTAAAACTCCAAAAGGAACTGAAAGCCAGAACATGAATGGGCATGTGTAAAACGATGCTTATGACAGTACTGTTAAAATGGCAAAATGGTAGAAGATGCCTAAGTGGCTGGTGGGAGATGAATGAATACACAAAACGTGGTATGTACATATGTGGATATTAGTCAGCTTTAAAAATGAAATTTGATTTCAGGCCTGGCTACTTTGTATTGGATAACCAATTAGGGAGCACATCTCTGGGAGAGGCTAATTCTCCCTTAGTGGTCATTAGCTGCCTGTAGTAAACCACACTAGACAGACTCAGCAGTTGTATTTCTGTGTATATGTGTGTGTGTGCCAATAACGACCAAAGAGAAACAGGCCACCAATTAGAAAGGGAGTGAATGGGGACACAGGAAGGGTTAGGGGGAAGTGGTATAATTATATCTTAATTAAAATATTAATAAATAAAAAACAAAAAAGAAATCTGACACTTACTACAATATAGATGAACCCTGAAGACATTACCCTGAGTAAAATAAGCCAGTTACAAAAGGATGAACTGTGTAGATTTTATTCATATGATAGTATTCAAATTCAGAGACCCCATAATAAAATGGTGACTTCCGTGGGCTAGGAAGAAATGGGAATTATTGTTTAATTTAGAGTATAGTTTTAGTCTCACATGAGACAGAGCATGGTAATAATTACACAATAGCGTGGCTGTATTCCCACTTAAGAGTGATCTTATAACTGCAGGTGACTTCGCATTTTCCCATCCTCTCAAATTTCTAGCTACTCCCATAATTTGACTATTATATCCCATTTTTAGTTGTACTAGGTTTAGATTCGCTGTGTGGCAGTGAGCCATAATGCCAGCCTGACTGGATTGAGAAGTGCCTAGGTGACCAGTAAGGCATATCCCTGGGTTTCAATGAAAGCATTCTTAGAACCCACCTTGAATGTGAGAGACACCGCTCTTAGAGTGGGGGCCCAGACGGAATGAAAAGGACAAAGGAAAGCTGTGTATGTACACAGGTGTTTTCCCTTTGCTTCCTGGCCGCCATGATATGAGTTACTGCTCCACTATGGCTCAGCACCATGATGGACTGTTATGTTTAAAACTGTGAGCCAAAATGGATGTTTCCTTCCTGAAGCTGTTTTGTTCTGCTAACACAACTGGGATCAAAACCACAGTTGCTATTAGAATTAACGCTGTTGCGATTTTATAAAGACATATATTTGGTGTGCAAAGTTTTCAGCAGGTGAGATTACATTACATTCTTTAAGAATGGTCCACTGTTTTACTTAGCTTAACACATGCTAGTATCCTTAAATAGAATTCTCTGCTTCATCACAACCAAATGAGTGGCTAAGTTTCCTATATAATGTTCCTAACATCAGTTATACTACTAAGTAAGTGGCTCTAGGGGGAAAGCCATCACTGATTCGTAGGAAGAAGGAATGACACTATGGAAGCTCACAAAACTATACAATGAGATTCTTTTTCATAGAACTTTTAAAATGTTAAACATGATTTTGAATGGTAGGGTCAAGCGCAGTAGTTGGGGGTGAAGAGCAAACTTGGGGAAGCGGATAAGACTTGGGGGATCTCTCATGCTATGCCAAATACTTCCCCAAGGTTGGTCTAACCCCATAATTGCAATAAGTTTCATAAACTTGGTAATACTGGCCTGTAAAGTGGTAAGACTTTCTGAGTGGAAGATAAGAATATCAGTATTTCAGTGCTTCCTTTACTCCTCAGTATAATGGCCAAGCTAAGGCTGCCAACCACCAACTTCACAAGTGTTTAGTGACTGTGCTCCTGAGCTGCTTAGAAATCCTTTGATAAAAGGCAATGGGCAAGTTCATAACCCATGTGACACGCTAAATGTAACTTGAGGTATATGAAATGATTTGCTTTCTATTTTGCATAGGAGAATGAGGAGAGAAGGGAGAAGGATCTTCTATGTCTGTTTTGTATTTTCCTTTTCATTCAAGCCTGTGTTTGTATACAAAACTTCCCACAACCATACACAAAATCTCCATCGCAGCATGAGTGAGTGGGAATTCCACCCATCACACAAAGCATCTGAATGGGCATAATGGGAAAGCATCTAAAGGGATTGTTCGCTATGATACTTTGTGACACAACCAGCCACATATTTTGGCCAATTACTAGGTAATGTATTTTTATATCAAAATCTTCCTTATCATAAGATTAATAATGAGCCAAAGAATTTTTTTACAGAAGTCAGTGGGCATATTTGGGAATATTAACCATAGAACACAGACAGAAGTGAGATGTTCTAGGGTTTAATAAAGAGAGAAATCAAGTTAAGACCGTTTCACTCCTAAATGATATTCTCAATATAACACATATTAGTATATGAATCTGACAATAATAAGTCTTTTAAGAGTCCTATGAATTCAAAGGGCTTACACAGATCTATATAATTTTAAATGGCAGGTAGGTGAGGTGATGTTTTATGTACTTTTCTTTATGAATTATATTTCACAACACATATACACACATAAACCAAAACATCTAACTGCTATTGATGTCTGCTATACTTCTAAGACTGTTACAGCCATTTCTATGAAGTTGCCATAGATATTGTTCAGTTTTCAGTAAGTATGAGTCTATTCTCAACAGTATTGGTGCATGACCTTGTAAGTGTTTTATGTATGTTTTCTTCCCTATATTATTAAATCATGAGGTCTTGTCTGTTATTTAATAAGCATTAAGTTCTGAAGATGTTTACTGAACCCTCTTCCATGAAAACTCAAACCACTAGACAGTCCATATTTAGATTCTCAGAGCCGGAGAGTAGTTGGCATATTGTTGTTACATAAATTATTGAGTTTTTAAAATCAACTGTGATTTTTTTCATTTAAAATCATGTCTCAATTATTTCAGTTTCCTTTGGTGTCCCACTTTGGCATATGTAAGACACCTAGTTTGGTTTGAAACTAGATACGTCTTTAAAATACGTATTTGTCATGACATATAGTGTAAAGATGTCACATATAAATATGTTATACAAAATAAACACATACATATACAAAAACTAGGAGTTAAATCAAAGGTCTCATACATGCTTGGCAAGCATTCAACAAATAAAGTAAACACCCCTAATTTGCCTCTTAAAAATATTTTGATCAACTATATTCAGGGTACTTTAAATATCAGTCTTCAAAGATGTCATATTAATACAGTTATGTCTAAGGTAGACTTCTTTGTTGATGTATGTTTTCATCAATTCTAGAAAAGCTACAGTCTCCTCAAATATTATTTCTCCTCCATGCTACCTTTCTAAGCCTGAAGTTACTGAAAATTAATCTTTTATTCTCTCAATATGTCTTCCCAGTTCTAAACTCATTTTTCATATTATTGTCCTCTAAGCAGGTCTTTCACATTTATGTTCCAATGTTTGAATTCTTTCTTTAGTTGTATCTAACTCATTATTTTATTCCCTAGTTTAATAAAAAAACAAATCAGTGAATTTTGATATAACTTTATTTTTTAAAATTCCAAAGGGGCAGAGACACATGTCTATAGTTCTCAGCATTTGAGAGGTTAAAGCAGGACAATTGAAAGTAAGTTCAGGGTCAGCCTGGGCTTCAGTCTGAGATCCTGTCTCAAAAAAAAAAAGATCCAAAAATAAGAATAATTCAGACTTTATCCAAATACACCACTTGTCTAAATTTTGTCTCATTTGCTTAATCATTCTTTAAATGTACATATATGTAAATATGCAGGTTTTCCTGACCCAGTATGCCCTTCCCACCCTTCTCTCTTTCTCAATAGTCTCATGCAGCACAGGCTAGCCTCAAACTCAGCAGATAGCTGACAATGACTTTGAACTGTAGATCCTCCTACCGCTATCTCCCAGGTTGTAGGACTAAAGGCATGTGCCACCACACAAGCCTCCATGTGTTTTACCCAAATACAAACTGTTTTCTTACATAAACCCAGTAATCAAAATGTTAACAAGTTACTGATATAATGGCAATAGACCGTATTGCAATTTTATCCTTTGTTTGGGGAGGTGTATGTGGTGCAGCTTTGCTGGAGAAAGTACTTTTCTGCAGGCAGTCTTGGACCACTTCCAGTTTGTTCTCTGCTTCGTGACCGTGGTTCAAGATGGGAGCTATCAACTTCCTGCTTCTCTAACCATGCCTGCTGCCTACTGCCATGCTTCCCCACCATGATTCTTATGCCTCTAGACCCATAAGCCAAAAAAATATGTTGCTTTTAGTCGTGGTGTTTTATTACAGCAAAAAAAAGTAACTAACAGAAGTTGGTACTGAGAGTAGGCTGTTGCTTTGAAGAGTATGAACACTGCTATTATTATTATTTGGGTCAATGTGGAAGACTTTAGAACTTTGGACTAGAAAAAATGGTTGACTTTTGTAAGCAGAGTTTAGCAAGCTGTTCTGGGGGGATCCTGGAAGACAGCAGTACTGAGAGTTATGCAGATGGCAAAGGCCCAACTCAAGAGGTTTCAGAGGCAGGCCAACATTAGCAACTGCACTATAGGCCATTCTTGTGACATTTTGGCAATGAATCTGGCTGTCTTCTGCCATTGATCTGAGAACCTGATGAAAGCCAACTTAAAAAGCAATGGGCTGTCTTAGTTAGGGTTCCTATTGCTGTGAAGAGACACCATGACCACGGCAACTCTTATAAAGAAAACATTTCATTGTGGTGGTTTGCTTACAGCTCAGAGGTTCAGTCCATTATCATTATGGTATGACATGGGGGTGTGCAGGCAGGAAAGGTAGCTGAGTATCCACCATCTTGGCTTGCAGGCAACAGGAAGTGATCTGAGTCACTTGGTGGTATCTTGAGCATATATGAGACCTCAAGGCCCACCTCCACGGTGACACACTTCCTCGAACAAGGTCATACTCACTCCAACAAAGCCACACCTCCTAATAGTGCCACTCACTTTGGAAGTCATTTTCTTTCAAACCACCACATGGACCAATTGCTTTGATAGAGAAAATTTCAAGATAGCATAATAATGAATCCGTGACATGGTTGTTATTAATGACTTACACAAGTCTATAGTAAAAAAGAGCAAGTGGGGCAGAAAGAAATAAAATGTGCACAGTTTAAACAAAAGGAGCACCAGAAAACATAACGTTGCAGCCAAGGCTTGTGTTGTGTTACAACTATTGAGGAGATTAGTGCCATTAAGGAGAGTTGTGCTCTGCACTGGGACAAGGAAGGGTGAGCTCAGGACAAGACCCCACTCAGCTAAGCTTCCAATGTGAAAGGTAGCCTAAGGGGTTTTCTGGTCTTAGAAAGCAAATGAATGAAAAAGGCTGCTACTAATTTGGTCAACTGCGGGTGTGAGGGTATGTCCAACCAGAGCTGGAGCCAACCTTGGCAGTGCCATCCAGTGTGGTACTGGCTGTAGAGGCATGAAGGATATCAGAGTGAAGGGAGTGTGGATCCTTCCTCTGCAGTTCCAGAGAGCTGCTAATGCCAGGCAGCACATGGCAGGGGAAGGCCCTGAGACAAAAATGTGATTCATGTAGGACCTAGTTTTGGAATGTTAGTGATGTTCAAAGATTTTCATTCATATATTAGGAGAGTGCCTCACATCATTACAAAAGGCCACATATTATACTTTCCTCTATTATAACTTGCTGAATTTTATAAACAAGAAAAAATTATTTAAAATTCTTATCTTTAACTATTTAGAGCAAGTACTAACAATTTATCAACCTTAAAAATGCAAGAAATTATGTAACTCTAAATATCTCCTGTGGGTCAAACTATTTATTAAATGGTTAACTATTGCTTAGTCTGGCATATCATTTTAATTATTTAAGATTAGCTGAAAGAAATCATTGATTTATAATCAATCCACACAATAAAAATAATTGCATTTGGCATTAGTACCAGTCAGACTAAAAGCCCAAACAAGTGTAATCAAATAGCTAGGCTTTCAAGTCAGGCATCATGGTGCATGCCTGTAACACCAGCACCTGGGAGATGGAGGCAGGAGGATTAGGAGTTTAGGCCAGCCTCAGCAACACAGTGATGTTAGGCTACCTTAGACGTCATTTCATCAAATAAATAAATAAATAAATAAATAAATAAGTACATTTTCATTTCTTTTCAGAACACTCTGACTTTGTAAGAATACCAGCACTAAGAACACTGTCACAGTTGGAAACACTAATGCTATTCTAATTTTCTAACTTTGGAACAGAATTAAGTTAATTCTCATAGAAATTGGTTGAATGTCTTTTGCTGAAGCAGCATGATAATACACATTAATTAGAAAAATGAAGCAAATGCAACTAGGAAATTTATAGGTGAAAAGATGGAAGATGTGGGAATGGGGAAGAGAATCAATGGAAATGTAACAGTAAAAGCTATTACATTTGCCATTAGCAATATGTAAGCACAGATGTGGTGTGAAATTCCTCCATATAGTCTAAAGCAGCTGCTGCTGTCCCCCTCCCCACTTTTAAGTCCGAGCCTTAGGTTGGCCTTAAACTCCTGATCTTGGTCCTCCTACCTCTAGCTCCCAAGCCCCGTGGTTACTGGTACCACCACATCTGCCTTAGGATAACTTCTTTTTAAACAGCATCTTTACCATTCACTTAATATTTATTGATCAACTATTTTACTCATGAGGATTCAAATCCTGATGTGTTTGAGTCCAAGTGATTTTTCCACTTCAAGTCTAAGAGTCAAGGCTGTAACCTAGATAAATTATATTGCCTCTGTCTTTAGAACACACAGAGAAAAACAAGAGTACACTTGGCTGGGGAGATTAGCTTAAAGAAATTAGGAGCAGCAATCAGTTGATTCACCTGTTTCTCAAAAGACCTAATGGATGGTACAGAATTATACTTACCAAGAACTTAATGTAGGTAAACTCTAAATCTTAAAAAACAACAAACAGGCCGGGTGGCAGTGGCGCACGCTTTTAATCCCAGCACTCAGGAGGCAGACGCCGGCAGATCTCTGTGAGTTCGAGGCCAGCCTGGGCTACCAAGTGAGTTCCAGGAAAAGCGCAAAGCTACACACAGAAACCCTGTCTCGAAAAACCAAAAAAAAAAAAATAAATAAATAAATAAAGCTATTTAAATTGGTTATGATGCATACTAAAAAACAAATAATGTTCAAATTATAAAAGCAAGCAACCAAAGAATCATCACCCAGTTTAAGCAACAACCACCAACAATACTGGATACACGACTCCTCCTTTGCTAGCCCACCGTCTTCCCCCAAGAGACAACCATTAGAACGAATTTTATGCTATGTCCCCGCCTTTTCCCATTATAATCTTAGCATACACAAAATTGTTTATTTTTGCTTGCCCTTAAACTTCAAAGGCTTTATGCAGCTTTCCACAAATTGGTTCCTTCATTCACTATATTTTTAAGATCCTACCCATTCCATTGTCATTGGTTATTTGTTATTTTCCACTTATTTTAGATTCATTCAGGCCATTCCCCCAATTACTCTTTCAGGAAAGGAAAAAATAAAAGGTTTTTCTTTGTTTTATTCTCAGTATGTTAACCGATCTAAGTTATTTTCAGTTAGACATTGCTCAAATTTAGCCCACAGCTTATAAAATGTTGGGAGGTTTTGGTAAAGTAGGGCTGGAGTAGAGGCGGGTTGAGAGAACCAAGCATCCTGGCACAGTCAACAGAGGCACGTTTATAGAAACAGGAAAGACAAAGTGACTATAAGGCTACAGACTATACTCCTTTTGCTCACAGAAGGCCCTCAACACAGCAACATCCTGGGAAGAGATACCTACGGCATTTCGGGACTCTGGGAAGGGCCACCGCTGCTGGGCAGAACCAACTGAGAAACCGCAAACGCGGAAGCATAAAAAGCCCGCGCAGTGGGGACTGGATGCGGTGTCACACGTAGCGCGGTCCGCCGGAAACAGCCTCCGCACGATAAATAGCCCGAGTGTATGTGAGGAAAGGGGCGTTCGGGGAGTCCAGGGCCAGAGCCCCACCCAGCCCCTGGCGACTCTCTCTCGCTATTCTGGACAAAGCAACCTCACAACAGACGAGCAACAGGGCAGTGACTGTACTTTCTGTGTCAGTGGTCCGGAGCTCTCCGGTCGGACTGTTTGGGAGGTGCTCTGCTTCTTACTTCCGGTGGCGGAGAGGAGCAGTTGCTATGGTAATCTAAAAAAGGCGGAGGTCTGTTCGGCTGCGCAGAGAGATTCGAGGAACTACGCTAAAGAAAATTGGCTGCTCTTCTTGGTTTGTGAGCTGAAATTAGGTAGCAACCGGCACTCTTTCTCTCGCTCTCTCGCTCGCTCTGCCCTCACTATGTGGCTGCCGCTCCCACCTGCTACGTTTCCTTTTGTGTCCTCCCCATAGCCCAAGCAAGCCCCTGAAACACTCGGGAATGCAGCGTTGTGGCCAGAGGAATACAAAACGGAGAGAGAGCCGAGCGTCTCTGATCAGCTATGACTATTACATGGTGCCGAGACGGTGACTGGATGGCTCTCTGTTTTCACTCGGCCCTTTAGACGCCTTAGGCGCTTGTTAACCGTTTATTTTTTTCCTGCTTATTGTGTCTGGTTATTTATGGAGCCGTTTGCTACATTGTACTCTCCAGGCCCCTGTCTCAGTCTTGGGCTAGAGTTTTAAATAAAAGGGGGTTTCAGAGCCCTAGGGGTGCAATTATACATTTATTTAAGCTTCAGTTTAGGCTCTCTTCAAAGGAAGGGAAAGAATAGAATTCTGGAACATTTCTGCCCTGGGATTTCTATGTGAGAATAACCCTATTTGGAAGGAGCATTTGAAGAAGATCCTTAAAAATATGTTTTTAAATTGCTTGCTGTAAAGTGAGTGCCCGTTCTTCCTTACTGGAACAGTTTTCTTTCACATTTGTGAGATGGCATGCACGCATATGTGTTTAAAACCGATGTTTAATTATGGTGATACCAATTTGCAGTAACCAGACTGTGACACCACATCCCTATGGGGTCCTTCTAAATCTGGTGTAATATGAAAGTGTCAGGCAGGCGGTCTGTGTATTATAAATAGGGTACTTCATCCATGATAAGCGATTATTATCTTTCTTTCCCAAGTGTAAAAGACCTACATAATTCAAGAAGGTGCCAGTGATTTAGGCCTCCTGAGTAAGAATCCAATGAGTCCTGAAGGGGACTCTACCTGTGTCATCTTATTGTTCAACTTGAACTATTCAATTTATTAGATTGGAATGTATTTTCAGAAGTCAACGCAGGATAAAGTAATGTTGGAAGCCATTGGACCACCAGCACAATTTAGCACCTCATAGTAGCCTTTGTTCAATAAACCTTCTGAAATTTCACAGCTTACTGCTAACTGGGTGACATCTCTGTCCCTCAATTTCATCATCTGTAAAATGGACAAAAAGTACCTGGTCAGTGTAGTAGAGGATGAAATAAGATGTATGATTGTGTATTAATGTTTTATGAGCAGAGGTTCTGTATATACCTCAAATATTACTACTAATAAAGAAACTCAGTAAAACCTAATGGTAATAAATGAGACTTCAAATGTTCAGTGATTTGGCATGTGCTGGATTATAGAAATGTCAATGAAATGATTTAGTTAATCCTGCTATGGAGGGTGGGTGTTAACTGCAGTTGATTTACATAAAATATCTCATTGTTAGGAAATTTCACTCCATCTACAGTTTCTTTAGCATTTATATGCCCTGTAGTATTCTGTATGCTTTATATTTGTGAACTGATATAATCTTAACAACCTTTTGAAGTTTCACATGACCTCTTTTTTTGAGATAATGGGTGTATGCATTTTCTTTGTTTTGGTTCTTTGTATTATGCTATATCTTTGTTCTTTGGGATATTATATATTTGAGGAATTATATACGTGTGTATGTATATAATTAGTAATCAATTATTAAGAATTTATTCTATTTAACATGTACTGATAAGTTCATATAGATGCCATAACACTTTTCTTTTTATTCTATGTATAAAATCTTCAGTAGACCAATGCCCCACCTCATGGTGGTACATTTGCTTTTTAGGTGATTTACATGGACCAAAGTAAAAATTTACATTATTTTTCTAATAGGATGGCCAGCAATCCTGGAAGTGATGCAGTTTTGGGTCCTCACAAATCAATGCTTTCAGGGAGTCCCCGAACAAAGAAATTTCCACTAACTGAACAGGAGGTATTTTATATGAATTGCCGGGCCGCCTACTTAACCGTCTTCAAAAGCAGCTTGGAAAACATTGTTTCTAAGGATCAACTTTACCTAGGTAAATTTTTTAAAGTTGAATATTTTGCTCTATTTTTTGAAAGTTAATAGACTGAAAGGTCTGAATTAGAATTACATCATTGAGTCACTCCAGTTTCACAGTGAAACAAGCAGCAGGACTGTGAGAAACAATAGCTGTTTATATAGTTACATGTCCTAGGGACTTCCAAACTAGACATATATAAACATGAGTGTGTATATATATATGTATACACACACACACACACACACACACACACACACACACACACACGTGTGAGAGATAGCGAGATAGCGAGAGTAGATTGTGTAGTCAAAGCTTCCACCAGTTACTACTTGCTTAAGAGTTGTTACTGTTGCTGTTTTTCAGCTGTCTGGTGGTGCTTTAGATTTATAATACTAGAATCAAAACCTTTTGCCATCTGACTCAACTAATCTGAATTTTGACTCACATTAAGGAAAAGATAAAGAATTTGCAAAACTGAGATCAAATGACTTAAAAGAAAAATATAAATAAATGAAATTTTAGAAGAGAATTAGAAGTTGTGAAGTTTTGTTTCTTATTCTACCCTTTATCATATTCTAACATTCTTTTGGCTGCAAAAGCCCCCCACGTCACTGAATGTGATCCTTGCCGGGCTATCAAAGAACTGGGAAGTCTTGATTCTGATAGTCTGTAGTCACTGGAGACAGGCAAATGACAACAGCAGGTAATGCTGTGACTCACGTCAGTCTCATCAAGCCAAATCTTATTAGCAGAGAACTGAGTTTCTTTGCCATCCTTAGAAGTAATTTCCTTAAACAAAATTCTGCTAGGTTTCTGCAGAAATGTCTTGTGTTTTTATACATATGATCTCTTTCTAAGAAAATTCCTTTGGAGGAATGATGAAAATTGACAAGATTAAAATATATTTGCTATCTAAATAGAAGACACTAATTAAGTAGTTTAAGAACAAATGTACATGATGGTAGCAATTTCAAAAATTATGTGTAACTTTGACTTATATAATTAAAAATTTGTAAACTTTCATGTTGAATTTTAAATACATGTGTTTAGTTGGCATATATTAAATAGTATATACAGAAACCCAGTTAATTAAAACTCCACTTTGCTGCCATTGGTGAAATATCTTGAGGTTGTTTTTTTTTTTTTCCTTTCTTCTTTTGAAAATAGAAACAGTGGCTGGGAATGGTGGTGGATGCCTTTAATCCCAGCATTCAGGAGGCAGAGGCATATGGATCTCTGTGAGTTCAAGGCCAGTCTGATCTACAAAGCGAGTTCCGGGACAGCCAGGACTGTTACACAGAGAAACTCTGTCTTGAAAAAACAAAACAAAACAAAAAAACAGTGAATTTGCTAAATTGAAAAGTTTAACATTCCTATGGTATAGTTCTTGAACTATTAATCAATTAATATGTATTAATAAGACACTGTCAGCCCTGTGAAATTGTCTGGGTAGGAAACAAACCTGTTTTTGCATCTCCAGTGTTACACATGGTTTTGGTTTAAGGTGGAATATATTCTTTGTAGCACTGTTGGGCTAAAGATAGTTTTTTACAAAGGAATTTGTACATCAGTGACATCTGTTTCTTACCACTCTTTTTCATATATGCTTCTGCCCTTAGCACATAACATATGGTCTGACATTTCCATGCAGAGTCAGACACAGCGGGTCCACAGGTATCGCAGATACATGGCAAAGCTTAAGTACACCGTAAGCAAAAGATCACAATATAGATGTCAACCTTTAAACATCTGCAGTTAGTGAAGACTTCTCAGATGCAGAGAGGTTTACTTCTGCGTACATATTTTGGCATAATTTTATTTTGAGACAGTTATCCTTTTTAAATCAATAGTTTTAAAGGATCTAGTGATAGAGCTTAATGCTAGAGCCCTTGCACAGGCCTGGAGTTCCATCCTCGGCACTTAAAACAAAAAGAAGATACACCCAGAAGATTCTTAGGTGGTGAATATAGTAGTCAGGCATGAAGGTACAGGCTTATAATCCTAGCACTCAGGAAGCTGAGGCAGGAGGATTATCTTAAGTTTGAGCCATTCTGGATCATAGTAGAGACTGTATAAAATGGGGGGGGGGGACTAAAATTTTCTTTGTTATTGAAGATAGTGGCACATGTTTGCTGAGCTGCTGTTTCTAAGAGTTGGTAAGATGGCTTTTCTAAATATTTACCAAAAGAATTTCCTTCCCCAGTAGATTTTTAACCTCCAAATTACAATTTAAATTCTGCTCTATTCTCCCATTCTAGTTAGTGGAATTGACTAGGGATAGATTCCTAAATGCATATACTATTTCTCTAATTCTGTTGGTAGATGAATTATGGAATTGTTTGTTTATGTAGGAGGCAAATACTTATTCTTTATTCCTAGGGAAGCATGGTAACCAAGGATCTTTCTGTATCCACAATGTGAAAAAATGTATGTTCAATGCTACACATTTCCACAAAGGTCTTCTAAGCAGATAGAAGATGGCAGCTGCAGTAGTGAAAAGTACTGTCAGCAGAACCTTGAGTTGATTCACTGGTTAAGGGCATCTGCTGCCAAACTTGGCAACTGGAGTTGCATCCCCAGAAGAAAAAATTAAATTGGCTTCTGACCTCCATGTAGATTGTACACACACACACACACACACACACACACACACACACACACTGTTAAAAAATAAATTCTGTTGGCTGTGTCGATCACCTCCAAGCTTGTCTTCTTGTTTCCCTTCCTGTGTCTATTTCAGTTATCTAAGTACAATTTGTTGGCATAAACTGAAGGATAGGGAA